CACTTTTTCTGGAATACCCTGTATAATAAAATCGTACTTCGAATCGAATAATATTACAATAAAATATTATAAATAATATAATATATATACAAAATAATATATAATACAATATTATAATAAAATCGTACTTCGAATAATATTATACTCTTTTAAATATATAAGATAATTAATTAATAATAGACAAACGCAAACAATTTATATTTCATAATAGAATTTTATATAATGAGGAAAGTCGTGTTTACAAAATGAATAAGATAAACCCCACTTTCGTTCATAATCATTACCACCAAAGTTCTCCGGTTTCACGAACTAACTTCAAAGAAGTTCTAATCTCTACTCAAACTTCCGAACGTATACTGCCGGCCGAAAGTTTGGCAACATACATTTTATGATACACCCATTGTACGTTCTTCGTCAATTTCTAAAATATGCGTAGTAAGCAATTGTTTCCTGAACTTTAATAAATAGAAATTAATTGTTTTAGCAAATCTTAAACACACATTTTCCTACAATAATGAGATAAACTTTTGCATTGTAGTGTAAATCTGATCCTACAAGAAAGTATTTCAATGTTACAATATCATCAGGAAATCGGATTACACGCTAGTGATTCATTCACCCTCGTTTAACTTTTTTATCTCTTCTTAAGTATCTTCTTCTAATCAGTGTCTATCGAAGTTGAATAAACTTTTGTTTATTGAAAAACAAATCACATTACTCCTTTTACTAAAAAAAATTGAAAGAATCTCCAATCCTTGACTTCAGATTAATCATTAACAACAATTTGATCAACATTATTTCATACAATTTTACAAATAATTTTATTTTATTTTATTATGTAAATGCGATTTGAATGACTATTAATGTAATGAATGCCGAAAAGGAGAAAGCAGTGTGAATGGAAATGCGTTGAATTACACCCAACAATGAACTCTTTGAAAGATACCTGAGGATTTTTAACGAGATCCTCGAGATGCTCGTCGGTAGTGTACCAGCCCATGAAGATGGGAATGAAGCTGATCAAAGCCGGCAGCAGCCAGGCGCTGCCCAGCATGAGAGTCACCGTCAACCGTTTCATAATAACAGGATACTCGAGCGGCCTGACGATGGCATAATACCTGTCCACGCTGATACAGCACAGATGCAGTATCGACGCCGTGGAGAAGTAAACGTCCAACGAACACCAAAGGTCGCACATGACTCTGCCGAACATCCACTGGCCGGACAGTTCGACGGACGCGTTAAAGGACATAGCGCACACAGCCACGAGGAAGTCCGCGGCCGCGAGGCTGACCACGTATCGATTCGTCGGCACGCGGAGCTTCCGGTGCCGCCTGACGCTGGCTATCACCAGCGCGTTGCCTATCAAAGCGGTCACGATGATACCGATTATCACCACACCTTTGATCACCGTCCAGATCACGTTCACCGATTGGTAACTGTCGACTGTCGAGACGGAGGTCGCGAGGGTGCCACCGACGCTCGCGTTCAACGACTCGGAGAGGCGCTCGATGCCGGAAGTCGTGCTGCAGAGCCTGCCTATCGATCGGTCCACGTCCTCGTCCGATGGCTCACTGACTTCCATGCCAGGTCGCGCGGACTGCGAGCATGTTACACGCCGGGAAATCGTTCACGGGTGATAGTCTGTTCACCAAACACGATCCTCGAGCTTCCCGGCCGCAGGTTCTCCAGGAACGGACATCGACGGTATCCAATATCGAGGAGCATCGTGTCTTGGTTTAAATTGTTGACTTCAAGGCTTATGGTAATTCTCGATCTCGCTAAGAGAGAGGATCTTCACGGATTCAGCTTAAGCTTCCAAGTACTGAGTGTTAGGTGCTATTATTTCAGTCCGTAACTTCTACAAACATTATTTATAATAAAATAAAGAGATAGTTTACGCAGGGAAGTTCTAATTGTGTCATATTTCTTGATAAAAAAAATATTATCAGTTTTTTTATTTTAATGCACACATTGTAGCTTATTTATGACGAACTGTTTGTAAAATAGGAAGAATAATTAAAATAGGTAAATATT